CTGCCATTGGTGGCTAAGGATGTCAATCACTGGGACCCGGACTAGGATTCCCCACTAGCACCCGGCGATCGTCGGGGAAAGCTGACGGGAGATAACTGTGTGTAAACACAGGTCTCTCTCCTGCCAGCAAGGACATGCTGCTTTGTATTTCTCTGCACAGCATGTCTCCATAGTAAAACACAGACAGCACATGATGTAAAACACAGCACCCAGTTAACCCTTTCATCGCCCCAAATGTTAACCCCTTCCTGTCCAGTGTCATTAGTACAGTGTCAGTGCTTTTTATTTGTACTGATCACTGTATTAGTATAACTGGGGATGTCAGTGGCAGTTAATCAGTTCCCACCCAATTTTAGAATGCCAGCCACGGTCCTGCTATAAGTCGCTGATCGCCGCCATTACTAGTATAAATAAAGATTCCAGTATATATACCGCCATTTGTAGACACTATAACTTTCACATAAACCAATTAATTTACAATTATTGGGATTTTGTTTTAGCAAAGACATGTAGCAGAATAGAATTTTTTTGTTTACAAAAATACACAGAGGTGATCAAATACCACCAAAAGAAAGCTATATTTGTAGGGAAACCAAAGGACATAAATTTCATTTTTGTATAGCATTGCATGACTGTGGAATTGTCAGTTAAAGTAACGCAAAAATTTAGCAGTATTGCAATAGATGGCCTGGTCAGGAAGGGGGGTAAATCCTCTGGAGGGCAAGTGGTTACTTATCTCCAACTAATAGTAACAAGGTATTTATTATTATGCTAAAAAAAAAAAAGTCCAATCCAAAAAATGATCAATTATACGACCCAAGTATTTTCCTTATCCCTATGTTACCTGTTGATCCTGCCAGTTCCTTGGTGTTCACTGCATTTCCAGTAGAAAAGATGAGACCACTTGCTGGCCACTGCTGAAATGACTGTACATGGTTGAATGCCTGCTTCTGCCCAGTAAGAAAAGCTCCTTCCCTCCTCTTAGACTTGCTATAGATGATCACAGGAGCAGAGTGCTTTCAGCTTTGCCAGTGCATATTGACTCCCCAAGCACGGGCCACAGAAGGAGAAGGCATAATGAGATGACCTTAGCTGCGGGTTTTTTTTATACTATCCTATAGCAATGTCTAATCTCATAGGATCAATTGTGTGGTTTGCAGTAAAAACCATTGTCCTTTTTTTTTTTTTTTTTTTTTTTTTTTTTTTTTTTTTTTTTTTTTTAGGTGGTCTATTTGTAAAACATTTGTTGCATTCCTACAAGCTGAAAGAAATTTCACCATTTTTTTCCCCAATACATTAATTCCCATATTATCAGCTCCATCTACTGGCCAAAATGCAGTATAGTTTTTGCAAAGGGATGTCAGAAAACTGTAGCCCATTTTGCCCACTAGAAGGAGCATACAATGCAGACATTAACTGCTTGGCAACATTTCATTCAGCTTGCATGAATGCTTCTGACAATCATGCAACAAATGTTTTATAAATCGACCCCTAAGTGTAAGTTAAATTCTGGCCAGTGGAAGTGCCATCATGATTTCTCATATTTCCTGGGAACTACAGTAGAGAGATATTTGTCTTTGCTGCAGCCATTGCAAGGAATTATATTTCCTTTGCTTAGCAGTACAAAGATTTCAGTGGGTGTCGTGAAGCGACATAGTTGTATTTGTTGACTCACTGGAAAAAAAAAGGTTGCAAAGTGATGCAACCTGTCACTGGAACTCCTAGAGACATAAGAAACTGTCCAGGGTTTTAGAAAACCGCCCGTACCCAAAATATCAGCTTTGAGTGGACTAATCCCCTTTTTTTTTTTTTTCCCTTTATTCAGGTTAGTTTTTTTTAATTTGAAAACCAGTAAGTTTCCTTTTTTTTTTTTCTTCACAAAAACACAGTCAAAAAGGAGAAAAAAAAACCCAAAACACAACAACAAAGGAGTCTGTCATGCAGGACAGTTGCATTAAAACAACCACTGTGAAGATTAGACTGTGACATTTAACATTGCCATAAATCAGGTTGCCAAATAAAATGCGGATAGGCAATAGAAACTGTTAAAGAGCAACCTAAATCTACTTATTATGTTGTCTCTAGTGGTGAAATTTGCCCTATAAGGGTATCAAGTGTATGGGGCAGCAAGTGGAAAGTGATGAAGTTCAACTCGGGGTTGGCAAGACTATATTCCATTTGGAATAATAGATCTAAGGCTTCTTCGATGGGCACCTCCTGTGCGCTAGGTATAGACCGAGATCTGCCAGTATGGGAGGGGATTTGGTTGACCACATCCGTATTTATCCATATAAAGTGCAGCGTGAATATTAAATAATTGAAGGTAAAATATAACACCAATGCAAATTGGATAATGTAAATTTCTCAATCAAACATACAGTATATGCAAAAATAGTCAATATATAACTAAGTGGTGTGATGAGCAAATATAAATCCATCCAAAAATATCAAAGTGACAAAAAAAAAGACAATGTGGGTAAACAAGCAATGTTTTTGTGGCACTACAAGACGCAGCAGTATCATGTTCAATTCCAAGCAGGTGCTGTGAAATCCAGTGAAACAGTCCACCACCATTATGCACTCACCAGAAAGCTACTGGTATAGTAGCAATGATATTGATCCCTCAAATGGAGACTCAGAATCTTTGACCAAAAGGACTTCTAAGGAAGAAAGCTCACCACAGGAGCCCAGAAATCGATATATAGTGTAGTACTTTATATAAAATAGAAAAAAAACAATCCATGTGGAAGACTGGACAAACGTGTAAACACACATACCAAGATGCCCATAGGCATACCCCTGAGGACGTGCATGCGCATGAAACGCGTTGGGTGTAGTCTACGTGCTGATGTCACGTCACTGCGTCTGTGACCAGGAGCGGTGGCCAGCTTGGTATGTGCGTTTACACGTTTGTCCAGTCTTCCACGTGGATTGTTTTTTGGCCTTAAGCCACTCCTCCACTCAGCACCCTATCCTTGACCAGGTGAAAGGGGGCAGACTAAGAGTACCAAGCCAGGCCTCCCAAAGTTTCCTAAAGTTACCAGCACAACCTCTGTTTTGTTAGACTAATTTTTCTTGAGATAAAGTGTCATTTACGGCATTAAAAGGGGAAGTAAACTGCACCTGACAGGAAAAAAAATCTCCTGCAAGTTAACGTCAATTATGCATCACGAGCTCCGGCTGTCTGACTGGCTGGCTGAGCCGCGATGATATCACTTCCACACATGCACACGGGAGTCCCAGGCCACGGCACAGTGCTCTGAAGGGACAGCACAGACATGCCATTTCTTCAGATCGCATGCATCGGCTCTCAAAAAGAGGGGATATCTCCTAAATGGTGCACGTTTAGAGGATATTCATTTTACCTACAGGTAACCTTTTATTATAAGCTCACCTGCAGGTAAAAGTATACAAAAAGCATTTCCTACCACTTTAACCCAGCTAGCCTGAGAGGGAGGAGACAGAGACATCCATTTCTGACTTTTTAATTGTGTAACCATTTTTTTTTTTTTTTTTTTTTTTTTTACACCTGCAAATTCCAATTTTTTTTGTTTAGGTAATCAGTCGCTTCAATGTACAGTTCAAAATGTATTTTCTTTACCTGAAACCTCTTGTGGTTGCATGTGGAAGAAACTACAGCATGTGCAATTGATATGTATTTACAAGAAAAAAAATAAGTTTCTTCTACTATATGTGATGCAACTCTTTTGAAGCACTAAGCTTACTATTTGTGATCATCATTGCGTTAATTCTACTGAAAATCACCCAGGAAGCTCTTACTATTCCAAACTTAGAACTCTGTTCACAAATCCAACACACCAAAGTAGAAAAAACTGCCATAGTGAGACATCATGATTGTGGCTACAATCATGATGTCTGAAGCTGAAGTTTAGTAGAAAAAAAAAAAAAACAGTATAAGGGACATTACTTCCTATCAGTATGATGTGTCCCTTCTGCTGCTGCCTCTTGCTTTAGTTGATATCTGCTTGCTTTGATGCACCACCCCCACTGACGCAATCTGGTGTGGCGGGGGTTTATAGAGCCAAGGGATCTGTCATATGCACTCATCAAGAATGCCAACCCTTTCTGCCACCCTCCACCATTCATAGATCCTGTCTTCATCATTCGTTCGTTTGCCTGTCCTCTGTTCATAGATTTTTCATTCACAGAAGCTATAGTACAGCTTCTCTGAAGGGGAGGGAAAGCTGAAAGGGCAGACATAGTCAGCTTTCCTGATGAGTACATATGACAGGTTCCTTGGCTCTGTTAACCCCTGACACACTGGAAGGTTATAGTAAGCAGGAGCAAGCAGCACAAGGGACACAACCCACCTATAATAAGTAATGGGCCTTGTGCTGGTTTTATTTTTTGACTTAACTTAGGTTTTAGCTCTAAATACTGGTTTATCTTGTCTGCTTACTGGAGGGATCTGAATAGCTCACTTTCATTAAAGAGACTCGAGGAGAAAAAAAAACTTTGTTCTGCCTTGCTTATAAAATATGGGTTTTCTGAAGTCACATGAAAACACAAATACATCCCCCAGGCACACATATGGTTTCAATAAAGGGCCATGCGGCCACAGAAGGATCCTAGCCACATCAAAGCGCTGGGGGCAAGATCTTTGACTCCTGTGGTGCAGCCTTTGTTTTATGTAGAAGAAACCTGCCTCCTGCTTTACAGTCACTTGTTAGATGAAATAAAAGGTTAACTAAGACATATGCACCAGGTATTCTGTTTACATGCATGTATGCAGCCCCTTGCAGTTTTGAGTTTTATAAATTAGTTTTCCAACAGAAAAGTGCGTTGTTCAACAGCCAATCAAATTCTTTACTATTTGTTTTTTACGTAACCTAAGCTAGAAGAACGTCTGGATTTTGATTGGTTGCTTTAGACGGTGCACTTTCCCTTTAGACATGTTTGATACATGAGTCCCAGTGTAATCTTGGCAGCCATCTTTGGCTTTGTTGTAAGAATAATGTTTCCTGCTTGAATCCCTCTAGTATGTGAAGGCAGCCAAACATTTTGGAGAGGAAACCAACAAGATACAGCCAGATGAGTTCTTTGGGATTTTTGACCAGTTTCTCCAGGCTTTGTCTGAAGCGAAGCAGGAAAACGAGAACATGAGGAAGAGGAAGGAAGAGGAGGAACGGCGGACACGTATGGAGGCACAGGTTAGGAACTCTCACACAAGGAGATTAATCTTTCCAAATTTAAATGAGGTGTGACGGCTCTACCATAAGGCTTTACTAATGCCATTTAAAGTGAACCAGCCAGGAATGGACATTATTAAGTGTCTATTCATCGGTTGTTCTAGTACAACCTTGCCTTTCAAGGATTTGTGTGCTGTTCACTTATTTTCTCCCTACCCTAGGCAAACATTCGGCTGTAAGGACCCACTGCAGGGTGCTCTGTCTCCTGCCTCAGCTCAGGGCTGCTGAAGAAGGGGGAAAAAAAACCTAACAACAAAGAGTTTTTGTAGTCCTCCGTAGACGTACTCTTTTATTTTAAAACCCTTCCCATTATATCTGAACAGGTTTCTGTGATGGCCACTGCACTGAACTAGAAGTGTTTAGGTTTTGCTAGTCTCTGTGGCCTGATTCACATGGGCTTCAGCTTGCAAAAGATCAGTGTGAACCGCAAGCTTTGACAAAGCATTTGCAGAGCTTACTGCAAGCTTTTTTGAAGCTTTTAAAGTACCAATCAACCGTTTGTAAATGTTGAACTCAGATGCTGATGGGAGTGCTGATTGCCATTGTAACCAAGCTGCTAGCAGGCTTGCATCAAGAAGTGCTGAAGCCTGCTAGCAACTTGTTTAAAGTGGCAGTCAACACTCCCATTGGGATCTGTGTTCAACATTTACAAACTGGAGCCGAATGGTGCTTTCAAAGCTTTAACAAAACTTGCTGAAAGCTCTGCAAATGCTTTGTCAAAGCTTGCTGTTCACATGGCTCTTATACAAGCTGAAGCCCATGTGACACAGCCCTAAGGGGAGTATTCTAGAGACTGAAGGGCAGACGGAGTGCTGCTCTATCTGTGGAATGTTTACTGACACAAGTGCACTGCTTAGAACATCCAATTATATCCTGTTGGGCTCAGTGTGCCTTTTGAAGCTCCTTGTAGAGGGAGATGGTAAATGAACTCTATGCAGTGATTTCAGTCTTTTGCTTATAAATTTGCTGGGTGATGATATGCGTCTGATGACGAGCAGAGAGAAGCATGTCTGCAAATGCAGAAAAATATGATTACCTAATGCTGATCTTTGTTTAAGGCTTTGTAACATTTCAATTGTAGTAAATCACACAAGGTCAGTAATACTCCATAGACAATAAAAGCACTGCAAGTTTACATCCGCAGTCGAAGCACGAGACAAGATCCTTGGAAGTCGATCGTCTGTCTCCGAGTGTTGGCAGATGAGAACATTGCAGAAAGCAGACTATCGAAGTGAAGTCACCGGCATAATATAAACTAAATCTTTAGTCTCCTCTTATTCATTGTCAGTCAGTTCATCATGTGTTTAATTAACGTGATTGAGTGAGCTTGAGTTCCTGCAAGACAAATGTCAGATGTTCAATAAACAGAACATCTTTAGATCATCATCGCTGGGAGCTTTGAAGTGTCTCTTCCCTCATTGTGGCCAACATAATGGAATGATTTAGCTGTGTTGAGATCCATATGCTGTATCCAGCTATTATAGAATATAAAAATGCACGTTCAGTATTATAGAATACATTTTTCCAATTTATTTGGCTTTTTTGCTGTGGCTTTAATTGATAACAGGGTTTCGTGTTCAGCATATTTTAATAAATGTCATCACTGTCAACACTGTAGCAATGGAGTACAACCAGGAATGGTGTTGGTAAGATGTTCAACACTGGAGTCCCCTTGAGATATCGGGGATGATTTCAAATTTTTCAGCATCCACCCAATGCTGCTGTATTTGGTTTTGGGTGAACTTGGCCTTTAAGACAAATGCAAATATGGAGCTATTGTGGGGGGGGGGGGGGGGTATATGGTCAGACGTTTGTGGACATCTCACCATCACAGACAAAATGTGGACACTCCAAATGACAGTTCAGTTTGTGCATACAAAGTCAGCTCCATAGACATGGTTTGGTGTGGAGATGCACATGTGGACTGCACAGAGCCCTGACCTCAACCCTTCAGAACACCTTTGAAATTCATTAGAATGCTGATTGTGATCCGGGTCTTCTCATCCAACATCAGTACCTAACTTTAAAAATGTTTTGGCTGAATGGGCACAAACTTCCGCAGCTCTACTTAATAATCTTGTAGGGAGTTCTTCCCAGAAGAGTAAATGCACTTCTAGCCACAAATAGGAGGCCTACCCCATATTAATACCCATGTTTTTGGAATGCTACATCTAGCCAACTCATAGAGATGTACTGATCCACAAACCTCTGACCATACAGTGTATCTGTTGTAGGTGAATGAGACAGTTTACATCTTTTTTAACATGGTGATTAGGCTCATGTTTTCTTTACAATGTGGGATGTTTTTTTCTTCACAGCTTAAAGAGCAGCGTGAACGGGAACGCAAAGCCAGGAAAGCCAAGGAAAATGGAGAAGAGGAAGGAGAGTTTGATGATCTTGTCTCCGCTCTTAGATCGGGAGAAGTCTTTGATAAGGACCTTTCCAAACTCAAAAGGAACCGCAAACGCATTGTCAGCCAAACTACAGACAGCAGCCGGGAGAGGCCTGTGACAAAGCTGAATTATTAAACCCTTATTGAAGCGAGAAATGATGGTGGTCCCGGTGTCACTGCCTTGGAAGTAGAGGGAACTGTATGTGTATATATGTAGTTAATGTAAAATAACGTGTGTGCATATGTATTGGCCTAAAATATTTTATACAACTGCACACATAGATGTATATAGTTTGAAAGAGTTCATGCACATACTGAATGTGTGATTTATTGCAGTATTATGTATATATGTGTACAGACACATGTATACATACCCACTGTGTAGAACTGTTTTTGTAACTATTTTCCCCTCTGAGTTCAAAAGCACAAATCATGTTTTGTCAGTTGAGGCAGGTACATTCCTAAGACACAATTCATGTATTTGTTTCATTTTAAAATATTGTTACGGTTTAATGTGGTGCCCTTAGCAGCAGAGGCAGACATTGTGTTAGGGTGGCATAACTGGGTACAAGGTGACTTTTTTGTACCCTTAGTTAATAAAAGAAAGTTAGCAAAGTGTATTAATCTGTAGCTGTCATGGTGTCACACAAATCTAGCACACCTGATTGGCTTCATGTAGTTGGTTTATTTATGTCACTAGTTCCTTGTGAACAGATTGGCCAAGTGATCAGTAATTCTACTGGGCTTTAGCAAAACTAGCTTCGTCTGTGATGTTGCAGGCCTAGAAAATGCTTAGACCACATTATGTCATTGGATTCTCCTGAAAGCATGGTCAACATTTACTGATTATTTACTAGAGTGGTCTGTAGTAATCCATGATTTTGCTGGTAATTGGGGAACCATCTGGATTTTCAGTAATGCCACTTGTCTCTAGTAAGTTGATTGGCTGCATTTTCCGTGATGTCATTGGCTTCCAGAAAATTGAAAACTCTTTGTTTGCAGTATCACAGGTCCACATTAAATCGATTGTTTCCATTAACATCAGATATTGGATAGATGTCTGCCTCCACTAAACATAGATGACATGCACTTTCACAGGGGTACTGATAGTGAAACTTAAAAAATTTAAATATATTTATTACATGGGTGTGTTCTGTATTAGAAAATACACATAGGGATTCAAATTTTAGTTTAAAAGCACAGCAAGGATCTTTATAATTCCCCTGATAACACTCTAAAAATGCTGGATTTACTCTAAACGGGTGCTTTGCACAGTGCAAATAAAACGTATGTGATAAACGCCTTTTCAGATCTGTAAGTCAGTGCTTCGTTGTCAAGTTACAAATTCCTTCTGCAATATTGTTTGTTTTTTGGAAAAAAAAGATCTGTGTACCATTATGTAATGCCACAATGTCTTCTATAACATTACTGGACTAATATTCCAATTACATGGTATGTTAAGGTACACTGACTGTACTGCATATCTAACAGATACTTGGCACTGATCACAAACATCTCATCTTGTTACTAATATGTTTTTGGTGGATTTTTACTAAACAAGCCCTGCTATTATTTCAGAGGTTTAAAGCTGTAGACAAGAACTGTATCCCTCAGTAGACACTGTAAACACAAAAAGTATTTTTATACTGGAATATTTTAGGGGACAAATTTATAGCTTGTAGAGTAGACCTGTTCTGTGCTCATTAGCTAAATAATTGGGAAAGGTATAGCAAGAAATCTGTACAGTGACTATTGTGAAGCTGAAGTGCTGCCAACAACAAATCAGATTCTAGCTGCTCTTTTCTAGTGCCTGTTAGAACATGAACGCTAGTTTCTGGTTGGCTGCTGTAGAAAACGCTTCCAGGTTTCTTCTGTTGCAAAATTGCCAGGCTTGTTCAGTACACTGTGCAGTTTTAGTGAAGTTGGGTCAGTGAGAGAGATGATGACGATCACATCTGAGTACAGCTAGCGCTACATGTGCAGTTCTTAGTAGCTCAATCATGCTACTAAAATCACTGTTGATTAATCACTTAACCGTTTGTTATCCAGCTGGAATCAAAAGCGATCAAACACCAGATATTAGCAGCTTCAGTCTTGTGCAAGGATATGGGATTGAAATTGCCTTGATTGAACCTGGCTGCTGAATACAATAGCCTTCGACAAAATTGCTGCAACCTTTTTCATTTTCAATTTGGTTACAATAACCTGTATTGAAGCTGTTAATTTATAGCCAATTTCAATCAAATTCCAGACATCCGACAACTCCTAGGGTACTTTCACATGGGCGTTCCATTGTTTTCATCAGTTCAGTCACGTTTTTTCAAAGAAAAAATGGATCCGTTCACATCCGTTTACATCCATTTTTCAACCGTTCCATTTTTATTATGGAAGAATAATAGGGTTTTCTTCCATTCGAAAAAACAGATGTTAATGGATGCGGACATTGACGGATGTAAATAGATGTTAATAAAGAACTGTAAAAGGAATAGGCACAAAAGAACTGGCACTCATAAAATGTCAAAAGTCTATAGAGATGGATACTTCACATTGTTAATTTCACATAAGAAGTCCCATTAACAGGAAATTGCCATCTCCTTGAGGAGGACGCCAGAATACTTGGTATGTGCTGCTATCTTAGGGAAGCCAGCCAGGAGACCTCCACCATCCAGAAGTAAGGGCTGGAACGCACCGTGGTGACGTCATCACACCAGCGCTGTGATCCACGTTTGTGTTCCAGCCCTCCCTTCCAGGTGGTGGATGTCTGCCAGCCGGCTTCCTCACTGTAAGACTGTTACACACCAAGTACTCTGGCATCCTCTCCAAGCAGATGCCGATTTTCCTCCCGGTGGTGTTTTATCGATGAGCCTATTTACTTCTGCCTTATGTGAGATGCCTACCTTTTGTACTAATAAATTGAGTGAGTCTACACTTAGAGGTGCTTTTACCTGTCCCCTTTTGGGTAGTTAATAGAAAACCATTTGCATTATTTCTATAGCGACTGATTGCTACGGTTAGAATTCAGCTACATAGGGGATTTTAATCTCTTACTAGAACTACATGGGAGTTTTTCAGTAGCTCAATCCTACTACTAAAAATCACTAACTGGTAATCGCTCGATGTAGCATATGATTAGTAAAAAAAAAAAAATGGAACTAATTGCTCATTCTGTGATAAGCTATACAAGTAGGTTGTAGTAGTGCTTAATATTGTGCAACTGATTACTAAGGGCTCATTTACACTAGTGGTTGGGCAGTAAAACCGCAAAGTTGAGCCTCATTTATACTGCCTCTCGACTGATCCCCCTTTAGCTGGAAAGGCAGCAGGGGTTGGGACGGACACACTCTGCAGCCATGATACTTTGCTTCCCGGCCATGGCAGGAATTATATTACCTGTCCCATTCAGCAGGCACTACTGCCCACCAAATGAGACCCATTCAAGTGAATTGGCTGCGCGTTTATGAGGTTAAGATAGGCAGCGAGGAGGCAATACAAAAATGCTTTCTGAATAGCAATCCGAATGCACTGCAAGTGTAAACAAGGCCTACAAGGCTACTTGTGTAGCTAATGCTATAGTGAGACATTTGTTTAGTAGTTGTTTGCTGCTGTTAGTGATAAATTGGTAGCAATTTGGATTAGGCTGGCCATTGACAATGCAAATTTCAAAATTTGTGCATGACCCTGACTCCTCTCGCCCAAAATCCTTTGACTAAAAAATCAAAGGAGCTGGACGTATTTTTTTCTGAACTGCAGCTGCACCCAGTCAGATGCAGCTCCTGTTCCGTTATTCTGAAAGCCGCAGCTACCAGCCATCAGAATATAATAGCCCAGCAGGGGGAATAGTCCATCCATGGTGTATAGCGTGGATGGAGGGATCTGTTTGAATCGTGTATGGCCAACCATGCTGAAACATTTTCTGCATAGCTTTAGTATTCAGGTTAATGGGCAGTAAAAGGCTAAATCTTTTAGCAGCAAGAGATAAAAAAAAAAAGCGCCAACCTAAAGCCATGTCTCAGGTTGGACAGTAACTGAAATTGCAACGTTTGTTTTTCAGAAATGTACCTAGACATATTTGTCAATGAAGCGTCTCATTTAGACACAAACAGTGTGAAGTGGCTTTGTTTATACCACATTAGATAAAGTGCCCAATAAACGTGCTGTATTCCTGCGATCCTCGTACTCATCCTTAAGTGATAGAAATGTGTTGGTCATATGACACGTCCTGGATGTGTATCTGCAGAAGAATCCCTTTTCATTCCTTCAGGTTTAGGTCAATAATTCTTTCAGACTAATCACATACATTTTACTCACAGACTTCTTTGGTTTTCATTTAATGTTTACATATTCCTGAGGCTCGGCCTCGATAAGAGCAATCCTAATGACGCAGCATTACTCAGGAACCACAAACCCAAAAACACATTGGCAGGTTCACACTTGCAGGTTGTAACAATATTTTCGGACTGTTTTGTCGTTTATTTATTGCCTGTAATATTCATATACACCGTTTTATTTTCTCTATCCAGAGACTGTTTGTTGTGGAGGGATGTTTCCTCTTAAACACATGTTGCAATATTTTAGGTGTGATATAGTACTTGCTGAAGCATTCTGTTACAATATTTAGATATATTTTAAGTTCTTGCTTATCACAGGTGGGTTCAGGGTGAACAGTAACCCACAGCTCCTTATTAGATATCGCCTATTCGAGAGCACTAGTAAGACTCCTGAATGTTGTGACTAGCTCAGTGGTGTTTTGGCTACTAGTCCAAACCTGCCTGAGCTGTCCCGCCAGGAAGCTGTCAAAGCAGACAGCCAATCATAGGCAGCGGAGACATTCCCCCACCCCGCAGCAACACATATACATGCCCCTTACATATGTGCTGCTGTGGGTTGGGGGAATGCCTATGATTGGCTGTTAGCTTTGACAGCTTCCTGGCGGGATAGCTCAGGCAGATGCAGACTCATGACCGAACTCACCCGGGCTCATCCCTGGTTGTGGTTACTAGTGTGATGTGTGGTATTCATGGCGGACAGTCAGGCTTTAATTGGTCTAACAAGATTGAAGCTGCCTTTTTTTATCCAGACAAATTCACCACAACACACTGTACAATTGTTGAGGTTCTATTTACTATGCATGTAGAA